TAAGAACTAAAGCAACTTGTACCATTTAGGAAGGCTAGGCTAGTCAAACATATCCGTCATGGAACATTACAATAAGCAGAACAAATCTAACATAACATTTTAGTGATAAAACCAGTGAAATGTTCATCTGTGAAAGGTAGTTTGTTAATAAATGTGCTCTTTTACTACACTGTTAGTGTACTGTTTTATTATTATTGTTATTATTATTATTATTATTATTATTATTATTATTATTATTATATTTAATGCACTGATTTTTTTCAACTTAAGCATTACATTGGGATAGATAAAGTCTTATCTTATCTAATCTTGAATAAAGTGTAACTGACATTAAGTTAGCAATAATGTCTATTAAAATGATGCAAGAATATATCTACCTTAAGCTTGTTAACTAAAGATAGCTATAAGCCTGCATTGGTTACTGTTCACACCAGATTCAGTCCAACAGCTAAATCATTTGGTTAATATATTTATTTTACTCTTCTTAAAAGCTAAGAAAATATAATCAGAATCAGAATCAGGTTTATTGCCAGGTAGGTTCACACATACGAGGAATTTGACTTGATGTCATGGTGCAGACATCAAATATAAAACAAAAATGTTTTAAGTTGTGAACAAAATCTTTCAAATGAATATGTTCTGAAGACTATTGTGAAAATGTAAGATAAAAAGTATTGCTGAAAGAACATTAGAGAGGCAGGTGATGACTGACACCCTAATATTTTATCACATCTGCCAGGATTTTAATGGATTCATGTGGAACCTCTAGTGGTCAATGGCATTGGATGTCCTCCAGATTGGACATTCTTTGACCACATATCGGCAAGAGAATATACATTCTCTTGCCGATAAAATTGCCTTAAAAGAAGAGTCACCAATGATGTTACAAAAACAGTTTATATGATAATTTTTGTCTGTTTGTTTTGCGGTTGTTCTGAATGAATGGATATTGTTTTGGACAGCTGACACCTAATGAAGGGATTGAAAAAGCTTTGGGTCAGAAAGCAAAAAATGGCTGTGTGGTGTTTCCTTACTGATCTATGCCAGAGGGTATGTAAGCATGGTAAGTGATGTTTTCTTCCTGCTATACCTCTGGGTAATCAATTAGCTGTAACCCACTTTACAAACATGAGATATATTAAAGTGAACTGTTAGAGTGGCAAAATAGTTCAGACATTTAATGACTGCTGCCTTGCCCCCATGCTTTAGTCAGGTTTACACCTATCGAGGGGCCACCATACAGTTTGAAGCAGGTGTACTGTGGTGGAAGTTGGAGACCGGTTTACAGCCGAACAGATGGCAGGTCAGCAGTCAACACTCAGTTAAGCACATTTAAAATAGCAGAGCCACTCGTAGCCACTCACTGGATTCAACCCATTATCTTATTATCTATCTTTGCCAATGTAGGGATCAAGGCAGTTTGGGTAAGGACTCAATTACTCTATAACTTCACTTTATCAAAGTTATTTTTAAAGCAGATAACACCTGCAGCGTGGTTGTAATCAGGGAACATTTAAGTGTAGGGTCAGTCAAGATACAGGGCCGTCAAGTCCAAATAATTTAAGTATGACATGTCAAGACTCAATCTTTCCCTTTTCTCTCATTGAACATCTCAAAAGAATTGCAACTGTGTACAAAATACAGTAAATATTGACAAAGGAAATATCTTTAAATATAACCTTTCAAAGAAATCATGCGTTTCTCCTGGAGTTCTGCTTATGAAAATCTGTAACAGACTCTTTGACCATCATGGGATACTAAAAGTCTCAGAAGAAGCTACTGTATATACAACTGAATAAAAGTTAGTCTTAGGTTGTTTTATTTGGAAAAGGGTTATTAACAGTTCATCACCATACAAATTGAAACAGGTCAAGTTTGCCAAGATTTGGTTAAGCTAATGGAAATAACTAAAATAACTGCATTCTATCTTTGTCTTAAAGACAAAATACATCCAAGAATACAACCAGTGAAGTACCTTTCAGAGGTATGTTCCTCAAGGGCCAAACGTTTACAATGTCCTATCTTTAATTATTTGTGTCTTTTTTATAACCCATTTGTGAGAAAACAATTAAATACCGGTAGTCACCCTCTGTCTTGGATGCCAAATCTGGAAATGGCCAATGTACCTTCCCCATTCCATGGATGTATAGGGAACTGTATATAGCGTTGAAGGCGAGAACCCCTTATTCCTATGAAAGTTGCTCATTGGCACAAGAATGGCCTGACGCTTGAGAGCAAAAGCTGCTCTCGGCTCAGTGAAATGAATGGAGAGGGATAATAAGTAATGGTTTAAATAATGGACATTTAAGTGTTTAGGCTGTGGAGTGGATGTGCCTAAAATACTAATTTATAGTCAATGTGGACGTTGTATTACCACCATTTGGCTACTACGAATATTTGCGCACTTCCTAAGGGCTTGTTCCTACCCCTACTTCCGGCACCATTGCTCAATGAGCAGGGCTGCCCCTCCCTACACGCAGATCAAACAGACTGCGTTGGCCCTCATTATGCGGAGGGGTTCTCATCTTACACTGAACAAAAATATAAACGCAACACTTTTGTTTTTGCTCCCATTTTTCATGAGATGAACTCAAAGATCTAAAACATTTTCTATACACAAAATAACCATTTCTCTCAAATATTGTTCACAAATCTGAAAAAATCTGTGATAGTGAGCACTTCTCCTTTGCCGAGATAATCCATCCAACCTCACAGGTGTGGCATATCAAGATGCTGATTAGACAGCATGATTAGTGCACAGGTGTGCCTTAGGCTGGCCACAATAAAAGGCCACTCTGAAACGTGCATTTTTGCTTTATTGGGGGGGTCTGGGGGGGTCCGAAAACCAGTCAGTATCTGGTGTGAGGGGTAGGGTTAGGGTTAGGGTTAGGGTTAGGGTTAGGGTTAGGGTTAGGGTAATGTTGTGAATCGAGTGGCCTGTGTTCGTCGTCCATAACATACGCCTGTCCATACCCCACCACCACCATGGGCCACTCGTGGTAAGATTTAGTGTGATCCACATAAAACCTGTAGGCTCTCACAGGGCACAAGTTTAACGCCTCCTATCCTCTGCAAAAAGGTGTGGCGAACGGGGGAAAGCCTCCAGCACCAGAGGTTTGGAGGAAAAATATCCTAGCCAGGACGATCGGCTGAAAATCCAGGTATGGTAGAAGGCCAAGGGTAGCTCTTCAAGTAACTTGTGGATCTCTGTCGTACATGAAACACCAAGAGCAACAATTGTACTTATTAGCCTGACAGCAGATCTGATCCTGCATTCTAGGGCCCTGTGAGATTAAAAGCACTCAGAACCACCCTCTTGGCCCTACCGGACCAGCTGTTGTCATATGACATTGGTTTCAAACCACCCTGACGGTTGGTTTACGACTTCATCGCTGTGCTATCCTGACCCGCCTCCCCAGTTCTATTAGGAAGGTCAGGCTTAGTAAACTGCATCCATTTTGAGGAAGTGTTAGGAGGTGCTTCCTGGTGATGATTGATAGTCTAGACTCTACAGCATCGTTCTTGCACTTGAGCGTGTCTTTCACACGTTTCAGTTGATAACAATGGATTTGAGGGCAAAGAAACGTGGGATGTGTGTGACCCATTACCGGCCCCTCCCAGTAAGTAGGTCATCATTCAGCACGCATTGAGCACAATGCAAACAAAACAAACAAACTCATGACATGCCAAAGAGGGTCCCTCGTGCAAGGCAGCCGACTATTTGGCAACCAATAACCTCAAGGGACCAAAGTGGGATAAGCTCTGACCAACCTTCATTTTGCTGTCAGTTACAAATCTGTAGATTTTCATGAGTCTATCTTGGTGGTTATTATCTGACTTGGCCAATTGACTACCTGAAAATAAAGAAAGAAGCTTTGTAAGCTCAGGGATTCACAGTGGTAAAGCTGCTCCGCCTCAGGGTGACCCAGTTTAATTGACTTATCTCCACAAGTAACGGCTGATTTCCTCTGCTGCTCACAGACAGATCATCCCTGCTCATACAGGTAGGACACAAACAGAGTCAGCTACACTGACAACATGAAATATCATCATTCTTTATATTCAAGAAACTGAACACTTTGGAAGGACATCTAATTGTTATTATTAGTAGTATTTATCTTAAACTAGGTTGAAGAGAATTTTTTTCTGAGGAAAATACAAAGGTTATTATATGAAGTATAACATATATATGTAAAGGCAGGACCAGGGAACGGAATAATTTGAATAGATGAAAAGAAGCAATTTTTGGATTCATCTTTTGTTGGTGTTATTACTGTTTTATTGGATGTCTGTCTAAATGCAACTTCGATTGTTTGATCTCCATTCAAAGTAAAGTACCATGAGGACCTTTTTATTACTTAGATGATTATGAATTCCTGAAGAAAATACTAAAAAGCCTAGTAATCTTGACCACTTGCTGTTGTTTTTTACTTCAATTATGAATTGTATCAATATTTATTTATGTTCAACATGCATGTGTCATAGGTTGTTTTACATTGAGCTGGAGGCTAACTTGAACCATTTGAAGACACTGAGTCCTGTGGGATATGGTAGACATTTGTTGTGACCTACAGAACTAATTAGACAAGGGAAATTGTAATTAAGGGGTTAAATATTAAAGCCGTGCAAGCCTACACAAATTTGAAAGTCACTGCAAAACAATAATTTTACTCGCAGCCATTTAAGATAAAAACAAAAAGCAAAAAATACAGTTGAGTCTTGAGGAGAGCTCAGTTGAGGAAGTTACTTTGACGTTCTGCTTCCCAAAATGTGTCAGGTTACACAACTACATGGTCTAGAATTTTACTCTGTACACTACTGAAATCTGCTCATTTTAAAAGCAGCTTAAATGTCAATAACCAAGCACTCCAGCCTTGAACTGGGTTGAACCCTGTCCGTGACACCTCTTACAATTGGTTGATTCGCTTAATAAGCTTACCAAGCGGCTTCTGCTCTTTCACAGAAAACGCATCTGTGACCAGGACAAATAAAGAAGAAGGATACTGCAGCCATACCTCAGGAGGAGCCTTCCATTTATTAGTTCACCTGAATAGCGGAGGTCTCTTTTTTTAGGTTAAATACGTGTGTTTAGTGGCCTAGAAAGCTAAAGGGCCATACAATCACATCTAAAATGGGTAACACCAAGAGCGGCATTGTGTCCAAGGAGATTCTGGAGGACCTGAAACTCAACACCAAGTTCACAGAGACTGAAATCACCCAGTGGTATGAAAACTTCAAGAAGCAGTGTCCAACAGGGCGCATCTCAAAAGAGGAGTTTGAGCTTATCTACGGAAAGTTCTTCCCAGAAAGTGATGCCCAAACATACGCACAGCATGTCTTCCGCTCCTTCGACACAAATGATGATGGCACACTGGACTTCAAGGAGTACATCATCGCTCTCCACATGACATCAACAGGGAAGACCACAAGGAAGTTGGAGTGGGCCTTCTCCCTGTTCGACGTGGACAAGAATGGATACATCACCAAGTCAGAGGTTAAAGAAATCTGTGCGGTGAGTTTTGGAGAAAGGAAAGTAATATAGACAAGACAATCACCAGTTTAATATATTTTAAACGCCAGTTTATCACTCAATCCCAAATATGTGAATATACCCTCTTTTCTTGGAGATTTGAAAAAATCTGATGTAGCCAATCTCGGAACCCATTTGCTTTTGATGATAAGGCTCCAGGTGAAAGAGGCTGTATTTCTGTAGTTCCTGTGTGGCCAGCGGATATGTGCTGTTCATTGTTCACAGTCCGGTTGGCAACTAAAAAAACGTGAGAATGGAGTTGGAGTTGAAAGAAGACATCTATGATCTCAGTATTTTACAAATAGCCAGATTCAAGCAAACATTCAGCTAAAAAAAAGACAAATTGCCTTGGGTTCGAATTTGCCCCACAGAATGTTTAAATGTAAGTCTGATCAAACATGATTGGTAAATTCTACTCATACTACACTACATACGGAAACTAGACACTTCCAGAACCAAAAGTAATGCTTAATTCATAGGCAGAATCTGTTTGTAAAGATGTATTCTTAACCAAAAGATAAAAGGTCTTATAACCACCGAACAAAGGGCCGAAGAGCTTGTTGGTTATCCTTGGCACCAGTGCAGTTTGTTGCTGTTTTTGTGAGTAGAGGTATGATCAGTTCAGAGATGTGACAAAACAGTGGATTTTAAAGGATTTGGGTTTCATGGTTTTACTCCGTTTGACAGCAGAAGTCAGACTAGTAGAATATTTTATTATTTCCATCTGTGGGGGCTGGGAAAATGGCAAGTGGCTTGGGATGACATCCATCTTGTCCGAATACCAATCTTGTTACATAGAAAGGTCAAATGTGAGATACATAGACGCTGAATGCCTCTCTTTCATTGACCAGTAGGTGTATTCTGATTTTCCCTACACAGGCTATTTTCAAGCTGATTCCTAAAGATGAGCTGTCTGCTCTACCTTCGGATGAAAACACAGCTGAAAAGAGGGCAAACAAACTCTGGACGTTCTTTGACAAGGGTGACACTGGTGAGATACAATAGTGTAAATGGACACATGTATGAATAAATGTGAGGCGATTACAACTTGGTGCTTTTGTTCTAGATAGATTTTGCACTGCCCATTCAACAGCCAAAATGACTTATTTTTCCTAAACAGCTCGATTCAAAGATATATAAAGATTAGAAACGTTGCAGATCAAAGTTGAACACAATTAAACTCTGACCCCTGGTTTCAGGGTTTGATTAATCTCCAATCCTGGGCAAATGTTGATCTGTTTGCACACTGCCAATTATTCAGTGCTCCAGTTCCTCCCCCTTAAAACCTTTAAGAAGTGTCTCTAATTTCAATAACATGAACTAAACGTCTTTTTTTCCCTTCTCTGCTTCCAGATCGAATAGCAGAAGGCGAGTTTATCCAGGGAGTGATGGAGAATGAAGACGCTCTTCGTCTGATTCAGTATACACCTCTGAAGTAACCTTTTGACATATGCATCGTAACCCTCTCCATTTCTGTCATTTCCACTTAACCCTTCACTCAGCTGATACAACTACACCTGACAGCATTTTCATACAATGTAGACACATGGCAAGTGAGACGATAAAAAACCCCAGTGTTCAATATTAAATAACGATGCAGAATTTCCTCCAAGGTTTTAAAACATTTCTTATACTGCATACGTGTGCTGTCCAAACATTTTCTTTATCATACAGAAAATTAAATAATGTTAAAGACGACTAGGTCAGTAGGCTACTGTCTTTCTACCATGAGCTAGAGGGCAATAATGATCAATACACATGGCCTAGTTTACACCTTCCGACAAATAAAGACAATTCATATTTTGCTGAAATAAGCCTATTCGTCAAATTTACAAGAAAGTAGGCACACAGCATTACAGGAATTAAGAACATATACTGATGTGTAATATAACATGTCACTTACTTGTGTTAAAGTGGCAATACAATGTCAGTATTTAGCTTACTATGCCTTTATCATAGCACTGAGATCGGTGTTTCCGTTTCAAATGATAATTTATATAACTATTTCTTGCTTTGGACAGCAAGCTAGCATTAGCCAGGTTGCTTGCGATAGCCATCCTGCTAACAATGTATGACAAAGTAGATTGTGAAACAGCAATAATTACGTTGTTTGTAGCTCTAAGGAAGAAAGAAACAGACCCAACATTGACAACAACAATTGAACAAAACCCACTTGGAAACATACGGGGGAAATATTTATCTTCTTCTGCTTTGAGGTATATTTACCTTGAACCATGTTGTTTTTATCTGGGTCACCAATGCTGGTTTCTATTGTCTCTCTTTTTAGCCTGAGATGTTTTTTTTAAAACCCTGTCCAACATGTAAGTGCAGCAACTGTACCCTTCTTATTGTTTTCTTAAATGGTGTTGAATCTGTCCATGTGGCACGATCGTACATGTTATAGCACTTAAGTAAACTGGTGGACATTGGAAATAGGTTTTGTTGTAAAACAACATGTAAAACTAAGTGTTGGTTCTGGATTGACCCAATAAATAAAAACCATGAAAATGTTAATTGTCACAAGTTATTTTTTGTTTTTTGTGTTGCTCTCAATGTTCAGAGTTACTGAAAACCATGACACCTTGTGCAATCACGTGAGCTAGCAACCCAAAGCTAAATACAGCAAACAAGTGACTGCCTACTAATATTCTTACAGCTTATTATTGTGTATAGGTAAAAAGGAATGATCATACATAACAATTTCGGCCACCCTACCGTACAATGTTATAGTTGAAGACCCCTGCGCTAAGGAGGGTTTACAGCTATGTTAGCAGCTAAACTTCTCTGTGCTCAATGCTGACATTAGCTTAATGACATGCTAACAATGAAAATGATGCATGCTGATGTTTACGAAAGAATGTGTGGCATGTTTGCTATTTAAATTTAGATTGTGTCCATCACAGACTGAAAACTCACCAGTTTGCCTGCATCTTTGCTCATATAAGAAAAAAACTCTCTTGTGTAAGTAGCACTTACAAAGGATTTGGCTTTAGGTGAAGCTAATGCAGTAGCACTTAATCTTGGGCTTATAGATAGGAAATGTACCTGCAGGATTCTTGCTTTTGATTTTCAATCAATCAATCAATGTTTATTTATATAGCCCAATATCACAAATGTTACATTTGTCTCAGTGGACTTCACAGTTTGTACAGAATATCAGTATGACAATACGACACCCTCTGTCCTTAGACCCTCACATCGTACAAGGAAAAACTTCCGGAGAAAACCCACAGTTTAAAGGGGAACATGGGAGAAACCTCAGGGAGAGCAACAGAGGAGGGATTCCTCTCCCAGGACGGACAGACGTGCAATAGATGCCGTGTGTAAATTGAAAAGATAATACATTTGCAACATAGGTAGTCCAAATGTTTGGAAATGCATGTGTGTATAATAAGAAGATGAATCCACAAGGATATCCATCCAGGACCTATGATCCAAGACCACAGCCACGACTCGCGATCCAGGGCTCGCGATCCAGGACACAGGACCGCAGCAACAGGATCATCCATGACTCCGGATCCCAGCGTATATAGACACCAAAAAGAAAGACATTTGGGGAAGCTGGGTTAATTGGAACATGAGAGTACACAGGTATAGACAGAGAGAAGGAAGAAGTAAGATGTCCCCCGACAAACTAAGCCTATATCAGCAAAACTAGGGGCTGAATCTAATCAGCCCTAACTATAAGCTTTATCAAAAAGGAAGGTCTTAAGCGCACTCTTAAAAACGGATAGGGTGTCTGCCGCCCGAACACAAACTGGAAGCTGATTCCACAAATGTGGAGCTTGATAAGAAAAGGCTCTGGCTCCCATTGTACTTTTAGAGACTCTAGGAACAACCAACAACCCTGCATTCTTGGAACGCAATGCCCTAGTAGGACAGTAGGGTATAATGAATCCCCACGGGGATTCAATGGAGCCTGAAGACCTGCACTGAGACCCTCACCCTGCACCTGAGTCTCACCTCCCAGAGCTTTGCAAGCCTCTCCCTGTTCTTTATTTTTGATTAAACAGACATTAAGCTTCCCAATGGTGTGGTCTTCGTTTTGTGAAAAATATGATTACCTCACATATGTTGTTGCTGTTGTTGTCTTTTGTGATAGTTAAATTGCTCCTGTTGACTTGAGCCAGCCATTCTTTCCTCCTCTCTGTGTCAGTGGGGAAACTTTACATTCATACTCCTTTCTCTGAGCGCTTGGAGCATCCCGAGGCAGCACAGCAAACCATGGGGGAGACGATATGCCAGGACAACTCGGAGGAAAAGGCACAGACAAACTGCATGATATGCTATTCAATGTTTATTGAATTCCATTTATTTACATGGATGTTCCTAAAACAACACATGTATCATCATCATCATCATCATCATCATCATCATCATCATCATCATCATGCTGCTGCTGGTAGTCCTTTGATAGGCACCTGCCGATCTCCTGTCCTTTCTGAAAGTCATAAAGATTACATTAGTACTTTAGATTACTTAGGTCCTCTATTACCAGGGGATTACTGAAACCACCATGAATTGTAGAAATGTATCTAATCAGAATTTTTAAACCTTCCCTCCCTCTAAATATATCAATAAACATTAGGATGTGATGCTCCTGACTACCATACAAGTTTAAGAAGATAATATTTGTTTTAAAGAATTCAAAGCAATAAACAACAGGCTCTTTAACCAAGGCAACGTTAGCCTAACATGTATGTTAACAGGTAAGATAGCTGTTCACACTATATTTTCTATGTTGTAATGCTATGTTATTTCTATTTAAGATGTTTACATTTTCGATTGTTTAATTATAGTCTTTTAACTGTCTAATGTACAATGCCTCCTTGTCTTTTGCTGCTGCAGCGTAAACATTTCCCCAATTGGTATCAATAAAGTAGGCTACTTCTTATTTTATCTTAATCCTCAAATATTAGCACATTTAAAAAAAAAAAAACACATTGATGTAACTACACACATATCGATATGTTGTATAAATATTGCAAATCAAAACCTTTATTGACCACTAATTACCAAAAATTGCATTTATATCCTGTTATTAATGCATTCAAATCGTGATTCAAATGGCTCGCCACGAACTTCCGGGAACTTTCTGAGTCTCTCTGAACCACGTGACGATCAAGCATTTTGGACTTCCGCTGTCGCAACTCTTCTCTCTACAGGGCGCTGGACCAGCCAATCAGAATTGACCTTCTCGAGTTCTCCGATTGGTTGGTTTTGTGGCACATTTGTAACGCTGTGACAACTTGAGCGAGCGCAGGCAAAGCTGAGCGCGCGCAGGCTGGAGAGGTCGAGCGAGCGGGGGAGAGAGAGCGCGTGCAGCGGTCTGCTTGCGCACGCAGCAGGAGTTTTACGAGAGAAAATATATTTCTCTGTGCTCAAAACTGTTCAAGTGCGCGCTCAGGATAGATAGAGGCACAAATATAACGCCATATAAATGAGCCTTCTTCGATAAAGCCACGCTCGCATTGCAGATGAGACAGATGGACTTTGAATTGGAATAGATACAAAAATAATCATCCTCCCACTCGGAGTGAAATTATATATTTTGTTTTTTTTTTGCTTCTGCCATACTTGCGGTCTTGTGTGTGTGCGGACTGTCACTCCTGTTGACGGTTGACACGGACAACGTCAGCGAAATAGTGCCCACTGCCCACCAGCAACGCCCCGACACATGGGGTCACGCCGGCCAATCACAAAGCTTTGATGCGTTCAAGTGCATTATTCTGGCACAGGAAGATTATGTTATAGGACATTAACGATAAAACAGAATATGGTTGTTCTATTTTTAGACACATCTCGCGATCGACTGGGAATCTCCCCGCGATCGACTGGTTGGGCACCCCTGTTCTACATACTGCGCAGTGACCTGACAACTCAGTTTATCTCCTCCTCGCCTATATTATGGCAATCTCTATCTCTCTCCTCCCCAACCCTGCTCAGTCTTATTTTCCTGAATGCGGAGATTATTGACATAATCTTCTGTCCAGCATTGGAAAGCATGTCTTAATGCCTAAATCTCTCTGTTGCTTTAAAGGAATGCTCCACTCATTAGATAATTAATCAAAACGTCAGTATTTAGTGAAACATTATGTTTAAACCATACCCTGAAGAAATCAGCGATATTCCCCGGTAAATAATGATTTTATAGCTCTTTTTGATCAAAACCTGTATATTCTGTCAGGCCGCTGCCATTTTGGCCATTTTCAGTAGTCACGTGATGGTCGTGACGTCATCCATGCGTTCACTTTGTAAACACACGAAAACATGGCGGAGTATTTGAGTTCGGACTCGTCAGCCGAGGAAGAAGTTTTGAGCAATATGAAGAGATTGGATGGGGGAATTCAGCCATACAGGTTCGAGCCAAGTAGTCAGGAATCCAGGGACACTCGGACTGGCCATCTGTAGAATCTGGAGAACCACAGAACGGCCGGTCGTCAAGGGCCGTTGGCGGCCGGCACTTAAAAAAAAAAAAGGTTTAACGTCATCATTTAAATTGCGCTGACGGCCGACAGAGGGCGACAGCGGCCGATAATGCGGTTGTGTGGTTCTTATGTCAAATAATCACACACGAAGAAGAAAAAATACCGGCCACATGAAGAGAAGGGATTAGACGCCGCGGCAGACAGGGAGAATGAAAAAACATGGTTAAAAAAATAAAAATCAAAGAAAACGAAAAGAAAAAGGTGGGCCGAGAAGGCAAGAGAAAAAAAGGTGAAGTCACTCGCAGGTGGAGCATATAAATGTCGCAAATTGACAGACCTTTTTGGCAGCAGCGCTGCTACAAGCTCTATCATCATCAGCAGCTTAAAACAAGTGCAAGATGATGAAGAGAATGATGTGGGCGCGAGTTCAGATATACAGCCAGCATTCATGATGAGGGACAGAGTTGAGCTGCTGGAAGAACCAGCTCAACCGGCACACGTGCAGGGCAAGAGCAAGAGGTGGGTGAGAATTATCCCTTGAACTCAGTGTCGTTTTCTCCTGGTGGCCAAGGGAAGCCAGTCTTCCCCTGTTTTTTGCATTGTAGTTATAATATTAATAAATAAATGAAAACACTTCGTTTAGTTTCGGTAAGTATTCTGTCGGCCCGTCTCTCCCCCATTCTCATTGAGTATTTTACAAAGAGTGAAACAGCGCCCCTCTAGATGTTATGGTGAAACAGTAGATTGCACTCTCTGTTGCGAGAGGAGGCCAGCCGAAATTGGCTTCCGTTGGTGAAAAAAAAATTGAGGGATTGACCAATCAGATGAGGCTCACGTCATGCCTCACAATCCAATCAAATCGCATCAACTTCAGTTCGTACTGTAACTGTCATCACTGCCCTTAAA